CAGGGCCGTAACAGGAATAATGGCCTGCAATGATGCTGAAGCTTACCTTAGCCTGCATAACCAGTAGGCGAAGAGGGACGCTGCGCCAGGGAATTTCGTTGAGCCCGTCACATCACGTATTGCTAAGATTGGGAATGCGGCGGACACGGAGGAGCCACAGAGTTACTTCTGCTTCTAGGCCCCGTATGGCGACATTGCGTTCTGTGTGAAAGTTCGGAACACAAGCCCGGGGACAGTGTCCAGCACTACTGCATTTCCCATGGTTCCTGGCGAAGGCCTGATGAGGGTGCGCAACTTTGGGCTTTCCCAGATTACAGTGTGAATTCTACGCAGCGCATCCTTTGAAATCAAGACCCCGCTAAGCTGTCTTAATATTAGAGGCAACGTGATGGGGATCCCCGACATATCAAAAACGCAAATGAGGCTCAGATGGACTGTCATCCAGCTGGCTCTGTTCCTGCTAATACCCATTGATGCCCAAGCGAAAGGCCATGCTGCGAGCCCAACCTTTAGTTCTGCAGTTCCTATACCGGCAATGCGCATGACTGAAGAGAATAGTACAGCAGTTGGCCAGTGTGGAATTGTGCTTCCTGAAACCTTCGCTACTCAAAAAGTTGAGCAGAATAGGCACCGGCAACTTTGCTTTGCGCTGCAAAACTACGGATTTCTCACGAGATACGTGCGTCATAAACAGGAGAAAACGTCGTCGTGGGGTGGCGACTGCTGCCTACTGCTAGTGTTTTGCGGACATGATTGCCACCGTCTATACGGACATCCCCAACAGACTCCAGCGGCTACAAACGTTATCTCAGAAGTAGCAGCTCTCTTAGCAGGCAAAACTGTAAATCAGCAACCTCTTAATGGAGGAACTGGGTTCTCTTCCCAAAGCAAGGTTACTGCACATCAGGGTTCGGACACTGTAGAGCAAGAAGGCGAACTGCCGCAACATAGTCTAATTGTGTCGAAGGTTGACACTGCAAAAAGGGGTGAAGTCCCGCTTTCACCGTCAAATGGAAGCCCGGAACAAACGGTAGTGTCAAAAACGCATTTGCGTGATAAACATCAACGGCAAGGCCACTGCAGAAGACACTTCATGTCTCACACAACGCGTGCAAATTGTATAGGTGTCTACTCCATAGAATTTGAAGCACAAAATCAAAGTTTCGGCAGATTTTTCGCCCGTTTGGCCCTTCTGCTTGGAGCTGCAGATATTGAAGCAGTTGTTGATATCGAACGAGAGCTCCAACAGTACATTCGCGCAAAAGAGTTGAGGGCTCTACGGGGCCCCGCCCTCGCATCATCGCGACAGCCTGGACGCACCATGACGGCTTCAGCAAATTCCAGCCTTCTGCTGCCTCAACAAAGTTCAGAAGCACCTAAGGAAAAACCAACAAGCTCTTCATTCTCTGCGCATACGTTAAACAACGACTTGAGAATCGTGCTGGAGCCGTTGCGCTCAGACGAGAGCCAAGTCGGCGGGACAGATAATGTGCATTTCGGCACCTCAGCTCAAACTATACAGATATCTATCCCTTCGAATTTCAGGGCTCGAGTTGCTTCGGATGGTGCATCTGGCATGTCAGTGGCTCATCCGAGGCGACTTCGCGGGGGCAGCTCCAGGGGACGTATTAGCTCGCCAACTGGTGACAGCCGTAAGGCTGGCGCTGCAAGTGCTCCCATCAATTCGGCCGCGTACTGCAAGGCTGTTTCAGCATTCATGTCACAAAAGGCTGAATTGCAGTGGCTACAGGAACATATCTTTTTTCTGCCCCACCGACCATGATTGAACAAAACCACAGGGCGATTTGCGGGGTTGTAATCGGGAGAGCTCAAATAATAGCTCCGCAGCCCCTCGCATGCCCTATCATAACTCAATGTGCCACAAAAGTTGACATTTTCCACAGGAATCTAATGAATGCTTCAGCAAGACTGAATGCACGTTTGCAGGACATTGTAGTTTGTGCACGCATTTTTAGTCCTAACACAGCCCTTCAGCCGAAGTCGTGTGCTTGCATGCCTAGCCTAAGTGTACGGAATGGAAGTTCTTTAGTCATTCTAGATTATGTAATAGTGTGTTGCAGTCTGAAGCCTATAATAAGTGAGTAATATTTAGAAGTGCAAATGCCCAATATTATACATGTGCCAGAAATTTGCGGAGGCGAACCCGAGTAATGGACCTCGGATATGGGAAATTAGGAAAGCGGCCGCTGGCAGGTGATGCCAAGTGGTCCCTGAGTACAAAACCCTGTAAAATGCGAAAAAGGCACTTGTTCCAACTGCATTGCATCTATAATTTTCCAGATATTGATAAATTGAGCAACTATGCAAGCTTCTGACCCTCAGTCCACTACTTTGCTGAATAGAGGGTACAAGAGGGATGGCTCCGAAGGTCTATTTAGCCAGGAGGCTCCAGCCTCGCGCGCCATGCTACTGACTAGTGAATCGTTTAATCCTCTCGGCAAAACTGAGCATGTAACAGAAGTGGTTACAAGCAGAGGCACTTGCACCGAATCATCGAACGCCAGCGTGATTTCCTCCCGGACCTAATCTCGGTCAACGTATAACCTGCTCCATGCAAACTTTCTTCCGGCATTTCAGTCGGCGAATATTTCGTAATATTAAGTGTACTGCTCTACATGAGAAACCGCCAGAACTGGCTGACAATTTGCTCTCCACCAGTACAATATCTATTGTGGAACAACGTGGATAAACACAAATGTAATACAGCAGTCAGGAGGAAGCTGCATTCTGACAGCAACTACTCTTTCAGCGCAAGTGGCATCAGAGTAGCCAAGCAAAACAAATACATGGCACAGTTGTGCCCACTATTCTGCGGTACTTGCAAAGCAGTTTCCTGCCAGGTGACGTTCGTGTTTCAAAGCCTCATAGAGTTAAGATGCCATAGCTTTAGCTCCGGTGTCCACTAACTTCACACTAACGTCGTGAGCAGTACGAGCTGGACTTCATCACGCCTGCACTTCAGTTCCGGAGGCTAACTTTGCAGTGAGCTGCAGAATTTGTCGTGTATGCTCACCGTGAGTGAGTCCCTCGCTGGAAGCTAAATGGTATCGTTTCTCCTTTCGGAAGCGCTATTAAAGAATGGCAGAATTGACAGCGAGTCATAAGCGACAGGAATCTCACCACTACGTTGGAAAAGGCTGTTGCTTTCTAGAAAGCAGCTTCCAGCATCTCTCCTATTACGTATTAAAAATCACCTCTTACTGTTTTGAGCAGGATCTCTCACTAGAGATCCTGAGTGTATAACGTACCGCAGCCTGACAGCGCAGGAGCAACAACTGCGGTAAAATGCCGGAATTAAGATAGCCTATGCTCAATCTAATTCTCAACGCATATGGGGATAGATATAAAAAGACGCCAGATCGTGAAGGCTCGCGGCCAACTAAAGTCATGAGCAGTGAGTGGGGAGCAACTAGCAGCCTCTAGAATGGGAAGTGGCCTTAGAATTCTGTATCTCGACATCCAACCACAAAAGGCAGAAACTGTACAGCTAATGGCCAGCCACGACCAGAGATAATACCATTCCATTTAACGCCCAGTGCTTTTATCTTTTCCCCAAACAGCACTGTATGACCTGCTTGTACGATGTGCAACACAGCACCTCGGAAGTATTCATCGTCACTACTCATCTATTTTGCTTAAGCTTCTCAAAGGACGCTTGTTTATGCACACTGTGGGGTGCACTACTCATGTTGTATCATGCCAAGCACCATGGCAAATGCTGTGGAGACGGAAGCTGGGTATTAAGTTCCCCGAGAAACCGAAGAAACACGTAGGTGCGCTGCCAACCTAAAATAGAACCCGTTTGATTCTATGAATACGGGAAAAATTGTTTGAAGACGGGAGAAACCAAGTGCATGCTTTGCTGCGGGGACTCTTGCCGCTGGTTTGATTCATGGTGGAAAAAAGAGAAACTCTTCGCTTGTACACTCTCACTACTCGCCTACTATTGTTGTCTTCGCTTTATAGCTTGATTCATGTGTCCTTGCACAGCAGTGTGTTAGTAACTCCGAGCAGAAGCAATGCTTCCGCATTGCCAACCGCTCGTCTTGAGCTGCCTCATCGAGCAGCTCCATTAGATGGCGCTTCTTTTCTTCACTATATATTGAAAGCAAATAGAAGACAATGAGACCGGTAGTGCAACTGTCGATGACCCCATCCGCGGGAAGACCACTGGATAATAAACTTCCAAACTGCTCAGCCTGATCCATTGGCACCTTGCTGGAGCGCCAGCCATGCAACGTCGCGTTGCAGTCTGAATACCTCCGCACATTTTTTTGCCCTCAGATGTAACCTTCAGGATTTGATTCTCTCTCCGTCATGAAAAGTAGAAGATAACCGGCTAACCCGTTCTGTATCTACCGCGTCGAAGCATCTTCGAGTTCATCTATTGCTTGAGGCCGTTCTGCTCAAGCGCGATTCAGAGAGTGTGCTCTGACGCGGCACTGCTCCTGTCTTCTTTGCTCTTTAAAAGGTGAAATAGTAAGGACTACCGTATTTAAAAAGCCTCCACATTTACACCGGAGCACCATCCGTCGAGACTCGACCTGGTACTGGTGACTCGAGGTTGACGCGGGCGAGCATTCTTCGAAGGCGGGGGTTCTTGGTGTACTGGATCGACACTGGCTGCTAAGTCAGGCGCATTCACGCGATTAGTTAGGATGCGTTGCGTTTGAGCGCTCCTTTGACTAATCACGTTCACAAGGCAGGCGGCGGGGGAGGAGTGGGATAGGCTGCGTGGTTGCCCTGTGTAGGCACCTACACTGCTTTAAGCTTCTTCCGTATTCATGGTTGCTGGCGAATATTTAGTGCTGAGAGGATATTTAGCTCTTGGATAAGGGGTGTTATAGTGGGTGCAGTGGGCTTGCAGAACCACACCTATACAAACGGCTTCGATGTGGCAACCATCACGGGGGTGCTCATACATACCGACTTAGTGGCAAATGTCAATGGTGGGCAGAACACATTAAAGTATAGCAGGGATGGCGGATTTCACGCCGGAAGAGCAGTTTTCGCTGCTCAGTCAACAGCTCCTACTGCTGAACCAAATTCCTGCACAAGATGATCCTATCAATCCTTTGGAAGCAGCTATGGGCGGCCGTCAGAGCCCAAAAGAGATTGTCAGCACTCCAATGCCGCCACACAGTCTCCGCAGTGAAGGTAGGGGAACCTTAGCGGATGCTTCAGTGTCCAAGGGAGGTTTATTGAGTGAAACCGCTCCAGTGAATTCTCAGGCACTTCCTTCATTGGTATCGCAAGACGCAACAAGTGCTTCCAAGACTCAGCGGCTGCAATTTATGCAAATGGCTTTAATAGAGCATCAACACCAACTGCTGCGTCAACAACAGCATCTACAGCAGCAGCAGCGGCTGCTCCTCCAGAAGTCTCAGGAACGCAATGTTGCACCGCACAGCTTGGCTCAGCTTTTTGTCGACCTTCGTGAAGCCCGCCAACATCGGAATTTGCAGACGCAGCAGCGTTGTGACCAAGATGTGCCGTCTCGGAAATCTGAAGGACGCGTACTAAGTACAGGCTCGCGTCACATTTTCAGCCAGGCGTCTGGTGTTGGGGCTGAAGTTCACGTACCGAAGCATCACGGCTTTTTCGAGAGTTCGTTTGGTACGGGTGTGCAGGTTGAAGGGAAGCCTTCGGGACATGCGCGAGAAGCAGACCCGCCTTTGAAGCCCCGCCATGTAGAAGAACAGTCATTACAACAGAAAGGGGAGCGGCCATCGAGGGTAGCTGGACAGGGATTGTCCGACAGGAGGAGAATGCTCCGCAGCGCTGGACTCCTTGACACCCGCACTGTGCTAAGCTGTACGCTCAGCGCTCTCCGCTTCGGCAGCAAGAATTTTACAGCGCATTCAAGTGAGAAAAACGACGACAGCTCTTTCGGAGGATCCAACGACAACAGCGTGCGAATGGCGAGCAAAGATAGATCCAAAAGTGACTATAAGACTACGTGTTACGAAGGAGTTCATTCTGCACTAGGTGCGTCTCCTTGGGAATCTGCGAGCCTTCCGTATGGGCCAGCTGGAGGGAGGGTGGTGCAGGTTCACGAGGAGCCCTTACCCCTCTCTGTTCTTTGCGCCAATGTTTCTCCCTCATCTTTGTGGAAGCACTGCCTGCGGGTAACTCTTCATGCGAGGCGGTGTGCTATCCGGACACGCCGATATTGGAAGGCCGTGATACCACTGTTCCCTAGGCGCAGTACATATTCAGTAGCAGCTGTATTGTCAGATGATGATCTTCAGAAGTATACCAGCATTGGGCCTCGTAGTGCTCCATTGCGTGACAGCAGAGTTGCTCTTGATAGTTGGGTCCCGCCTAAAGAGCCGTTTTGTGACCCCGGGCTTTATTGTGTTACTGAAGAGGGCGGTGCAGTTCTTGCAGCCTGGGCTGTTGCTGTTGATAGCCGCGGGCGTCTGCGGCGCTGTGCAGCACCAGTTTACACTGTTGCGAAGGGGCCGGCTGAGGAAGAAGCTTCCACCAAAAGAAAGCGGTCGACACTTCAGGAGAACGTGCCTGGGTATTCCGCGGCAGAGAATGCTTGGGGAGTGTTTCTAGGGGATTCGGCACACGTTGGATCTGAAGCGTTATTGACTTTGGAAAAGTGGTATCTACAGGTGGCAAATGAGCCTTTAACAGAGCAACATATTAGGAGTTTTACACTGGGTAAGTCTTTTTGCACATAGAATAAGGCACTCTGGGCCAAATGCCTGTTAAATGGCTGAGTTGTGCATCTGGCCACAGGCTTGTGTGTAGTAGTTACTGGCCTTCCCGTATCGTACTAGGGGATTCATCGTCTGAATATTGTTCTAGTTACTGTGTTTCGAACCCCTAATGCTTGGACAGTTTGGGATTTGAAGTGCGGTTCACGGTGCGAAGGAACTTTTTGTAGAGTGTAACGAGCTTTGGTGCCTTTCCACCGTAAAAGGTAAGTTATTCTTGGTTTTGGGGTGTTTCCTTGTTGTCATCTGCAGCGGAGTACGCGTCCGTGTTTAGCGATTATGCAGAGTCGCTAGTGAACGCTTTGCAAAGACTTGTCGAGATGCGACATGGGTCGTCTTGTGTAAACAAAGTTGCTGAAAGCTGTGGGTGCGACTGTGATATATGCGGTGGCCAGCCATGCCGTGTGAGATTAGCCTGGAGGCAGCATATGATGGCTTTCGAGGTCGCTGTGGACAAAACTGCTGCGGAAGTGTCTCGTTCAGGTGAGCAGAGGGGACGGTGTTCTTCTCTGCAGAAGGATCATTTGCTACGTAAATTATTCTGCGTGTATGTTGCACTGAGGTGGTCCTAGCTCGCAAGCCTTCACGTTTGAATGAATGCGCAGATTCTTCTGGAGAGGAGTCAGTTGGTCAGGGAACGCATGGAAGTGCGCGGAGCCGTCCAGTCGATGCGTCTCGGCACAACAAAGGTGGCTGGGAGTGGTGCCGCAAGTGCCAGTTTGGGTGCCGCATGCAATTTCGCTTGATTCTTCACGAGCTGTATCAGCCAATGTCTTTGACGAAGTCAGGATTGCGCAGCGCGCTTTCCCAGTTGTTGATGAGGTTGCGGCGGTATGTAACATTGTCTTCTCTTGCCGTCAAATTCCTTATGCAGCGCATACGAGAAATACAGCTTTTGCCCGTCCGCGATGATGGAACACGGGCTTCCCCTGTTGAAGCAAGTGAACGGGAGGAGGAGGGTGAGAATTTGCATTGTTACGATTGGGCCACTCGGGACTGGGCCCAAGCATGCTGGCAGCGGAGGCAACGTAGTAATAAAGGTGACATTGCCGACTCCGTGGTCACCAGCAGCGATCTCAACAGGAGCGTTGCAAGGCTTTCTATGCTATCAGCGTCGCTGATGGAGCCTCTTGCATCCGCTGTTACGGGCGGCAAGGAGCCAGCTCCTCCTGCCGATGACCGGGAGTTGTGCACTGGCGCGCTTTGGTTAACGGAAGTGGAGAAACCAATGGTGAAGACTGGCATCGCAGTTGAAGAATTGCAGTCGCTGGCTGGGGATGCATCACGACAACATTGCACCACTTCATTAGCTGGTCCCGAAGCTCGTTTATCACGAACCCCTGCAGCATCAGATCTTATGAGCCTTCATGATTACCAGGATGAAGGAGCCCGGAGCCCTCACTTTAGCTATCCTGTTTCGATCGCGTCATCTCAAGTTCCTTCTGCTTGCAGTACTCCTCCACGGCAGTCCAGCCGTCCCCGGCTAGGTCGGTTGTTTGCCTTGCCGCGAAGTGTGCAAACGCAGCAACCAGGGGGTGATGGGGCTCCTGGATGTATGCCATCGGGACCTTCACAGGAATGTGAACTCCACATTCACTGTGATGGGACAGGAAAGATGTCAAGAGGCCGAGTCACTGAGAGTAAGATACAGGAGCTATTAGTTGCAATATGGAGCTTAAGGAAGCGATGCGGAGGTTTTTTCGCGAGACTTCGTGAGGTAGTTGATTTCTGTGCATACAGAATAAGAGATTTTTGCACATTACCTTCATATGTCCAGTAGCTGTTGTTTGTGGGGGCTCAGGAGATGAATTGTCCCGTCCAGGCAACGAGGCAGATCGTTTCGGAGGAGACGGATTGGATTCTTCTCCTAGAAGACTTCGTCGTATGCAGAGGGGTCGTTTAACTGCAGAGGGCCACCAGACAACATCGGGGCGCCGTGTGGAAATACCTCGACGACTTGTGCCGCTAGTGCCGTGGTGGTGGGAAGACTACATAAAGACTGGGGCAGCTCAGAATGCACAAAATACGCGCTCGAAGAAAGGAAGAGGCGGGGAGGGCGCTTCTGACAGTTCGTCAGTAAATTCGACAATTTCACTGGAAGCGGCACCTCATCTCTTCCGGATTCCTTGCGAAAGACTATCGGCCCCGTCGCAGCCGGAGGTGAAGCCACGCCCTTGGCAGGATAGTGAATCGACTACAGGGGCTATGCTGGCACGGTTTTCTGAGGCTGTTGACAGCGGGAGTCGAGTGGAGGCACGAACTGGGTCGCAAGAGGGGAGTGGGTTGCCAGGAGGTCACAGTTTAGATCTTTCTGTTGACTTAATTCATGCAGCTGCTGAGCTTGTCGACAGCATACAGAGCTGGCCAGTTGAATTTAGTGCTAACTCGAGTAGCGCCCTTCATAAGCCGTCTCGAAGCCGCGGCTTCGTGTCTTCCGAAGGGGGTGATGGACCAGTTGCGGAGTCTTCTATGCCAGGTTCTGAAGCAACAGCCGCGTTTACACCAGCAGGTAGAAAGGCGAAACACATGAAGGGCAATGAAGCAATCACATCACAAGTGCTGGAGCCCAGCAGCAGTGGGGGCATGTTGACGTTCGTTTCGTCAGTTTTAGCTGCACCCACGGACAGTGATGTAGGTAGTCTCCGCGGATTTGAGTTGTTGCAAGGTGCGGTGCACGTTTTGTTCGGCTCCAGAAGCCTTTCATCAGGGTTGCTGCAGAAGGATTTGGAGTTCCCATGTGAAACTTCTTCCGACCGTACGTCCATAAGCCTGCAAGCGTTTTTCAATTTAAGCGGGAGGAACCACTGCCAAGCACAGTCGTGAATTCTAGGACAGCTCTTGTTTCCGCAGGCGTTAAGCATCTTCCCTGGTCTGCGGAATTTGTTTGATTGCAGTTGCAGACCCTTGTCAAGGCTGTGACCGTTTTGGGCATTTTGCCGTTCCAGGAGGTCCTAAGGCTGCGAGCAGTGACTCTGTGGTGGAGTTAGACAAGCGTGGTGTTACCGAGCCCGCATCAGAGTTTGCTGAGGGCAGCGGGCGTGTCCCGCCGCTGGATATCAATGCTAGCACTCCACTACTGCGCTCTCTTGCGGCATCATCAGCGCCCGCCGTCGATAGCACTCATGACCAGCTGCTGGTGGATGATTTTTACGTGCGGCCGTTGCTGAAAGGGCCCTTGCCGCACAGGGATGCTTGTGATCCTTTCGAAAGAGATTATACGGACGTCCAGATAAGATGTATGTATTTACTGGAATCCATAATCTACACCTACAACTGTGATGGCCAACCGTGGATATTCTGGTGTACGTAGGTGTTGGATGCTTTGCGAAAGCGTGGTAAGCCGCATTGAATAGCGATGCTGAGTAGTTCTGTGAAGAAAATTTTTGTGACATTTTATCGCAGTGAAACCGTTAAGAGCGTTTGGGCTATGGCAAGAACGCCACGGTCGTCACAGGCGCCGCTCATGGAGGCACTCTCCCCAGAGTGCTGGAAGCTCACCACGTGGTAATTCCCCAGCCCCACTTCGTTCGCAGGGAACAACTGGACTTAGTTTGAAAAAGCCACTTCAAGGAAACACAAGGTACGCTTGGCAATTGTATGTTAGTTCACCCAGTGGTGCAGTGGCATGGCCGATGTGCATTCATGTGCGAGTCTAAGCAGGATGTCCTGTGTCATTTCGCAGAGGAAGGGGTTTGGGAGCAATAGGAGAACGGACGGGAACTGTTCGGATTGGAGGTAGACGTGTGGTTGTTAGGACAGTTGATGACGGGTCTGGATGGGCATCTCGGGAACCAAGTGCGGGAGTCCTCTCTGACTTCTCTGTTTCCCGCTGCAGCATGTCAGTAGACTCGAGCCTGTCCAGCAGAGGAGTAAGCGTTTGTAGCAGGGCCACAAGTAATGCAGGGTCAGTTTCAGATGCTTCTGTTCAAGGCGGTGGTACCCCACAGAGTCCCAGTGCCCATGAAGGTGCACCACGGCATAGGAGAGGAAGAAGCCGGCCCCCTCCTGGTGGGCGAGGTTCCGGTGGTGGTAATTCTTCCGCGCCCACAGGTGTTTATCTTGATGTTGCACGAAAACTTTGGAGATGCCAGTGGAGAGAGAACGGCCGCTTCAAGACAAAGAGCTTCCCCCTCAATCAGTACAAAACACTGAAAGAAGCGCGACGGGCTTGTGTTGTGTTCCGATGCCTAATGGGGGGTTGGGAGGTACAGCCAGCATGGCTCGGCGATGATGAAGAGGCAGATATTGACACGTCAGGACAGCCGGAAAGCTTTAAAGATTCCACAACAGGCGACACTGGAAGTGGTGGTGCTAACCCAGCAGCCGTTGCTCCTTAATGCTTTTGTGAAGCGTTGGTAGGCGGTGGTTGAATTTTCAACGGAGGGCAACTATTATATTGTAGGAAATTTCCACTTTCTTTAAGTATTCAGCGAGCGACTAGCTGCGTACCGGTGTTTTTGCAGTGGATATTACTTCAAGCGGCATGTGCTTGTATTCTAGAGTTGCAAATCTCTCTAGCATCTGCTTGGGATCTTCCTCGCATATTTATTGCTGTGAAGGTCCGAAGTTTGCATGCACTACGGATTTGGAAACAAATCAGTATTTTTCAAATCAAAAACTCACGGAAAAAGCTCATCTGACACCTGCCTCGGTAGCGAAGAATGCTTCGCAGATGCCCGAAGTCGCTAACAAATCGACGCTGGGTAGTTTATCTACGGCCTTTTGGCTGGCGCGGCAGCGCGACGCGGAACCAGACCCACATATTGGATCATATGCTACAGTGTTCATTTCTACGAAGGAACTGCTGCGGTAAAACTGCGGGATCAGCGGTCCTTTCATCATAGAAAGCAAATGTGGCCACCATGACGGAGGGAGACCGTGGAACAACAAAACGGAATTCGCGTGACAGCACAGGACTAGTAGGGACGGACATGACGGAGGATGGGATTCTTTGTAGGCCTGCTGACGTCAACAATTGTTGCCGTGTTAGAGCCTTCGGCGTCCCAGTCCACACCAGTAGCTGTCGGCGCGGATATGTTGCAGTTTAGTAGGTCTCGGAGCGCATCTGGTTCATGTTCAACAAACACACTCGAGTCCGCGAGATGCTCGGGCTCTTCACAACTCGTGGAAGCCACGGACACGAGACGGCTACCTCCTGAAGAGTCAGCCCCTGCCCCGAGGAACACCATGCTGGCGGTGACCATATGTGCGAGTTCAGATGGGACCTCGGGGGCTTCGCAGTGGTTCCTCTGAGATGGCAGGAGACCCTCCTCGCAGTAAACTGGTTGTAACTGGTTTACAGTCTCTTCTTGGAGGGCTGCTGTCGACAGGGCGCAGGCGTGAGTCAGGAAGTCCACATAGGGCAAAGTCGCAGTGTCAGCTGACTCTTGTGGCAATTCCGCTCTCGTCATAGAGGGTGCAGCTTCTCGCTCCTTCGTTTCATATTCTGCCACCTGTGCCGGGGTAGTGCGTCGTTCTCCAGTATTTGGCGCAATCTGATTTCGTCTAGCAGCTGTTCGTAGGCGAGCTGTCCGCTGACGGCGAGTTGCCACACCAGCCATCGCCTTTCGCTGAGCGCTCCAATCATCGTCTTCATGGGAAGAGGGGACTGGTGCAGGCTGGCGGTTAGTTACTGTGGCTGTCCGGCGTTGGTAACGTCCTGCTACTTCCGCCTGTGGTGGCAGAGCTCTCAGGCCAGTAGCTAACGATGCTGCTATGCGCTCTTCTAACGTCACTGAACATGATTCCAGGACTTGCTCTGCATACAAATTTAGATGTATCTCTCCAGTTATCGGGTCAAGCTCTCCTCCCTGTAAGAGGACGGCTGCACATTCCGGATTAGACTTTGCGAATACCTTTAATCCCTCGACCAAATGAAAAGCTTCGTCTGCAAAGAGGGGCCACCCTTGGATCCGATTTCGCTCTTCAAGAGCCATCAGTCGGGCTCCGAAAAAGCCGAAGCGGCTCACAGGGAAGTGCTTCTGTACCTGCTTGTTCTGGTCGTTCTTCCAGTAGGAGATCCAGCGGATTTGGTTGTGGTCGAACGTAAGTCCCTGCACCCGCGGGGTGTTTCGAGCTAAGTTCTGGTAGACTTTGCGTTCGTGCAAAGGAAGACCCCTGCCAATTCGTGTTGGTCTAGACTTGAGTTCCTGGTCAGCTTGCATAGCGGCTGCGGGGAGAGTTTCGGTGGCGGGAAGGGGCCCATTTTCCTTAAGCGACATACTCGTTAGATGAAAATTGGCTTCTAGGGCTTTGGCTTTTTTGAAAGATACGTCTAGTGCCTTGCTTCCGTGTAGAGTTCGGATGGGAAGTTGGCGAGGAGGGGGGTTTTGAGCCTGACACGTACGTTATCCTGGAGTATTCAGGTTTTGCCTTTTAGCTCTTAAGTCGCTGTTGGAGGCAGGTCTTTCACGTAGCATATCTCAGAGCAAAGACAGCGACGAGCACGAGGAAGGCAGTAGATGCTCCCAGTTGACAGGAGTCCTTGTGGCTGACGGCGACTGGGTCGGCTGGGAGGGTTGAGCTCAAGAATAGTGTTAACGGAAAAAATCGGGGGACATACAGGAATATTGTTGAATTGAAGTAAGGATGCCGCAGTCACTGCCGACAGGCATCCACGAGCAGCTGCCTCATCTCTAGTGGGCAGCAACAACGTTTCCGACCAGCCAGCACTGTAGCGCCTACTTCAGTACATCCTACGGAATCAGAATATAGGCGAACTTAAAAAACAATTGTCTTCAAGTAAGAGAAGCCTAGCACTCAGTCTGGCCATGGTCCAACGATGGTCAAGCTAGCAGAGGCCGGCGGTGAGTGGAACTGTGAGCCAAAGCCACGCGAATGAAGAAACCGTAAGGCTGGGTTGTAGCTGGATGTGAGGCCCTAATAATTGAGTTTACTAGGTGAGACACGTTCAAAGCAGTAGCATGCCTCTAAATTCTTTCCATAGGGCCTTCAAACAACTATGGGGTCCATCTTCAGGAAAACGGAGACCGAGACCGCCCAAGTGCAGCGCAGCACTGGAATCCCACGATCGTTTAAAGTACAGGCTGTTCACTCAATATGCGTATCTAAAGTCAAAAGTCTATTCATTACATAGAGAAGAAAAGCGGGCCGAAGCTACAGAACATTGTCTCTGGCCATCCTACAGCACAGGCGGCATGTGGCTGCGCTCAGTCACTGAGGGCCAGTGTCGGCCATATTAAATCTACTGTAACCCAAATCGCCATATAGTGTGCAGCCTCAAAAAAAGAAAACACTTCAATTTTTAAATGTCTTGCAACAATTGACCTAAGCTGGTCGAATTTGCTCAATGCTAGCCGACACCAGAACCTGTCCCACTGCCGCCACAGCCTCGCCTCGCCTCATTAAATGCTCCTCCTCTAGGTGACGGACCTCTGACAACATACCGCATAATCTTCACATTTAGATGGTGGAAAATTTGGAGAGTCGGTAAAAATGTTTTGTGCGCTCCTCGCCGTGGCAGCACGGAGACCTTGCACGACACTCCGCCCACGCTCAGACACGGAGCGACTGATAAATTAGCCGATCCTAATTCTACGGAAAGTTCTTGCTCAGCCTAATGAGCGTATCGCTCTATTCAAAGAGCCCCTAACGAGTACGAGAACCACTCGCTGGTGTCTGGGACCTACTGACACTTTAAGGGACATAGCTACAAGGGAGGCTATGAAACCCAGAGAAATAAGACGGTGTTGGCTGAGTGTTTGTACACTACATGGAATTACCCGTTAGTGTTGATATATGGGCATGCACGCAGTGCGCACAGAGTTGCCAACACAGAGTTGCCAACGCGTGGTGCAGTTCCTCGCCTTCCTCCATGGACTGAAGCTGCTCTGTTACACACCCTACGAGGTAGGCTACTGAAGAAGGATGCTGACGATTATGTTCACTGTACCTCTGTACCATGCTTCCTGGTATCAGATAGTACTTTCGGAGAAGGGCATGTAGAAAACCATGACAGGGAGTCTAGGCGCTTCGTTGTGAAACTTTGCAGTACAGTAGAGTAATATGTGGTGCCTGTTTTCAGTGCATGCGGGACGTTAAATTCATACTGCAGAGTCAGTTTAGGCTGATACTTGTCGACGCTATCTGACAGTTGCGAAACATAGCCATGCAACGAACAACACCACGCGTTCGAGAAGCTGGTTCAACCCTGTCTTTGGGCCAGTGAAGCTACGGCCCTCGAAACATCGGCAGTGACGGTTAGTTTTCTCGTGCATCGGCCCACAAAGATGAATTCGTTAGTCTCCGACAGCAAACAACCCACTTCCTGCGTGAGACAGAACCGTTGCACAACGGAAGAATTGCAACTGGGCGAAGCAGGCGCACAACGGTTTACCACTGAGAAAAGTAGCTCAGCAGTGCATTATAAGCCGCAGCCGCTACATATTGATGGACGTCTACATCAGATTGCAGTTTCTTCTGGCTTCCTTGAATATTGCACTGAAGAAAAAGACAGCTTGCCACTGCACTGTTTTGCCGCCGAGACGATGCCCTGGTTCTGCTCCACGAGTCATTGAGTATGTAACAGCACCCACGTGAACTTGTACGAAGAATGCTAATACTGCAAACAAGCCACTTTACGTGATTTCTAGAAAAACATGGCCTCGCCAGCTACCAAGCACGCACCTGCGCAAAGGAGCCCTCGGTGCCAACAAGCACGTCGTAACAAATATCCTGCAGAGAAAAACACGAACACAAATACTTCACCAAATTCAAGTGGCAGCCACCGCGGGCCTCGCAGCTCATCTTTCTTCAGCTTAGCAAACAACTGTATCCTATCTGCAGAGTGCAGACCTCGCTTCGGAGCTTGTAAGCAGGTCTGAGGGCCACTGCTTTTTTCTGCGATGTATCTGTTGCCTCTGATGCCTCAAAGACAGCTTCTTCCTTCTTTTCAGTAGCGACTTCAGTAAGGAGCCGCAGGTGAACACGACCGCTGCGGCGAATCAGCAGTTGGCCGATACGGCCGGACGGTAGGGCGTGCAAAGGAGCCGGAGTGTTGCGTAAGCTGCTGCTGCCTGTTTTCACTTGCTTCTGTTCCTTTGTCGCTTGTTGGCCCGGTTTGCTCTCCGATTGCTGCAACTCTTGAGCCTGCATAGCTGAGATGTCCAAAGGCGGAAGAAGCCCTGGGAAACAAAGGTGAATAAACTCCCTAGAAAATCGCACAAGGCAGCAATACAATAACACAACAGTCACCAAGCTCAGCACACACAGCAGGAGCTGGAGGATCTGAGTTTGCGTCTCTAGAGAGGATTTGCCCAGATCTGAGTCTATGTGGCCCCTCAATGTCGAATACTCCTGTGCAGTACAGGTGGCTGTG